AATTCTCCCCTATTTTAGGAAACTACCACTAAAAAAAAGAAGATGGCCAGGCACGGTGGCTCATGCCTGTAACCCCAGCACTTTGGGAGGCCAAGGTCGGCAGATCACGAGGTCAGGAGTTCGAGACCAGCCTGACCAACATGGTGAAACCCCATGTTTACTAAAAATACAAAAATTTGCTGGGCATGATGGTGGGCACCTGTAATCCCAGCTACTCAGGAAGCTGAGGCAGGAGAATCTCTTGAACCCAGGAGAAGGAGGTTACAGTGAGCCAAGATCGTGCCACTGCACTCCAGCCTGGGTGACAGAGCAAGAGTCCAACTCAAGAGAAAAAGAAAGAAAGACAGAGAGAGAGAAGAAAGGGGAGGGGAGGGGAGGGGAGGGGAGATATTTGCTCAAAGTCACACAGTAAATAGAACCAAATCCTATCTGTTTGATTCTAAATCTGGTGTTTCTTCTGCTGGGGGCATAGATTTCATCAGGAGGAGCTGTGTGGGATGGGGGCAGTGAGGGAGCTTGATGGCCAGGCCCTAGGGGCAGCAGCAGCCTCCCTGTGTATGTGGGAGCGGCCCACCCCAGGCCCCACAGCACTCCCAGTCTCTCCCACAACAGGGAATTGGCTGGTCCCACCCATCTTCACAGCCTGTCTTGTCTCTGTTTTCACTCTAAGAACAAATATGTACACCTTACACATAAAATGCTTGTGAAACTGAGTCTCTTGGAGAGAGTCCCATTCCTCCCCAGAATTGAGAAGCCCCACTGGTTGGGGCAAATGTACTAGCCATAAATAGATCCTGAGTAAAATAAACAAGTTCCAAGGTATTCCCAAATCTGTCTTCTCATTTAATCCTCACCCATTTCAGAGGTGAGGATTAATCTCACCTCCAGCTCTGCCTCCATTCAGCCCCTCTGTACAGCCTCAGGACCCATCTGGTCTGGGCAAGAGGTGAAACAAACCGTGATCCTTTCTCATAAACCCACCACCGAGAGGCCAGCAGCTGGGAGAGCTGACTTGGAGTTTGAGACTAGAGTTTATCAGTCCTCCATGGGCCAGCCTCACTCACCAAAGGGGATCAGTAGCTACATGGCCAAAGTCATTGTGCTTCTAAAGATCTTATGCCAGGGCCCCTAAGACAGGAAGCAATGCAAGCCAGGGAAATCTGAGAGAGGAAGGGGACAAGTGACTTGCTGCATACTCCCTCCCCATGAACCCGCTGTAGTGGTCTCTCCTGGATCTCTGGGCTGACCCCAGCAAGATCAAACATCCCAGTGTCTGCTGCTCAGAGCCAGATAGCAGGTGCCCAGGGTCTGTCTACCAATTGTCAGGCATTGCTGCTGCCTCTGTGCTACTTCACAGCTGGTTAATTTCTAATTAATGGTCAATTGTCTACTATATTATCTCTTTCATTATCTCCTCCATTCACAAACCACTTTCACATTTAGGATTTCCATTGGCCCTGTGAGCACTGTTAGGCAAGAGTTCTTATCCCTACTTTCCAGGTAGGCAAGGAAGACTCAGAGATGGGAGGAATCTGGCTCAAGTTCACACCAGAAGTGGTAGAAATAAGACTTAGGATTTTGCCTTAAGGGTTCTTTCCCCAGTGCTCTGCTCTCTACTAACCAGGAGGACTGGAAATTTTATTGGTTATATGCTCTGCCTGAGCCGGGTGCTGGCAGAAACCTTGTTCCCTAACGTCACAGAGTTTACAACCTCTCCAAGGAAATGAGTCTCTTGCATGCATGTGGAGACTTAGACTCTATTCACAGTGGTACCTTATCTTACAGATGGGGAAACTGACATTTCAGGAGAGTTAAGTGACTTGTCCAGTAAATGGTGGAGGCAGGATTTGATTTGGGTCTCCTCTTTCCCAATTAAATGCTGTTTGCGGCAGAATGCACAGGTCCCAGGTGTGAAAGGATGTGGACTTGAGAGTAAGGGCTGTAGAAGACTGCAGAAATAAGGAACCACCCATTCATTCAGCGAACATTTGGGCCGGGGCAAGATTTGGTGCCTGGTGCTTGGGACGAAGAGAAGATTAAGACCAAAGAGCAGTTTAGCCTCAGTGCCTAACCTTGCACAGGAAAGAGGCAACCAGGCCACTACAGGAGCACCAGAGGGGGGCTTTGCCTGCCAGGGAGTGACAGAAGGCTCCCGGGAGGGGTGGGGGCTGAGGCTTGACACAGCACCTGCCTGCAGAAGTAGATCTGGTCACTCCCCAGCTTCTGGAATGCCCTCAGGATGGAGTCCAGCTACTGTGTTTGGTAAGCCAGTCCTGCTCAGCAATCCCAGCTTCCTGTGTCAGTCCTCCACCCTTCTCAGGACCTCCCTATGGTCTTGGGTTGGTTGGTGTTCCTCTTTGGGAACCCCTTAGGACATCCCCCGAAGCATGTTAAGTGCCCTTTATCTATATGGTCTTGTCTTCTTGTGCTCACCATGTGGCACTCTGTTTTAGCACAGCCTACCTTAGCTTCCTCCTCTCCTACAAAGGACACAACTTGAGTTCTGGCTGAGGTCCCCTGTGGCCAGTGTGAGGCCTGACAATAGAAGTTGTTCCGTGTTTGTTAAATCAACATCGCAGGTCACTCTGGTGCTTCCCTGAGGCCCTCTCGCTGCACCAAATCTATTGACCCTCCATCTAACCCTGCCCAACATGGCTTCCAAGAAGTCTTCTCAGATGAATACTCAACAGTCCAGCCCCTTCCGCGCACGCAGCAACCACCCAATACTTATGATCTTCCACTTACTCATTTTTTTAAAATGCTATTTATTTATTGCTGATGGCTGCTCTGTGCCAGGACTTGTGTGTCTGGGGATGGGAGGAGAACAAGAGCCAGGCTTAACCCTCCAGCAGCTCAGAGTCTGGTATAGAAGGCAGCTGTGTGTAGGGACAAGTATAATGTTGGACAAGGGGATGTCCCAGCTGCTGTGGAGAGACTAAGTGTGGGGTGGGGCGGGGGAAGTTTCCACTCCTGTGGTGACATTTATCAGGGTCTCTAAGGATGAATAAAGAATTAGGAGGGGCATTCGTGGTGGAATGAGAGGAGGCTGGATCCCTGGATCCCGGGAGAGAGGGGTGACCAGAGGTGACACTGGCAGGGAGGCTGGAGGGGGTGGTTGCGGGGGTGTGATCTTGAGTGGCAGCCTGTGGTGTTCAATAAGGGAGCAGAGTCTTGTTCAGACACGGGCAGGGAGCACCCGAAGGCTTGGAGGGGACAAACTACAGAAAAGGAAACGAGCCAGGAGACTGGGAGTTGTGGGGGAGACGTGAGGAGAGGAAAAGCTGGGCTGTGGTAGTGGGGCTGCAGGGGAGGGGAGAGTTGAATATGCCTCTGAGGTTTCTCAGAGCGGGGCGGCGCCTCCGCGGAGTGAAACCATCCAGGCGGAGCTCTCCAACTGGTGACACGCATGGCACAGATACGGCGACGTCGCTTGCTCCAGTTACAGACTCTCTTCTCCCCCACTCCCTGCTCCTTTCCTGGAGGCTGGATACCCGTGCCCTGACAGAGGGCCGGCCTCTGGGTACTGGACACGTTCCCCTGGCCCACTCTGGCTATCCGGAGGCTGCCCAGGCCTGGCTCCAGCCGGGACTACCCTGGAAAGATGCAGCCGAACTGGTCGCTGATAGCACCCAAGGAGCGGCGCTTCTCGCCCCTCCCACGCAGGTGCAGAGGCTCACCTGGGGACAAGGCATTCCTACATGGGATGGGGGTCCGTGCTCCTGCCCGCTTCCTGTGTGGTGGAGAGGGGCAACCCTGGCACGGGGCGCCGCTCGCTGGTGTCCCAGGCTCCCACCCTGGCTCTTAGTTCACAATCCCAAGAGCAGGGGAGGGGTTGCAGGTCTGTAGTCAGGGAGAAGGCCCTCAGTTTCCAGCAGCGCCCAGGTCTTGTGGCGGGAGCAGCAGGGAATGGAGGAGTCTCGGGGGAGGGGACAACTCCTCTACCTGGGCGAGACTGGGAAGGCTTCCAGGTGGAGACAGTGGCCCAGACGCGTGGGCTTGGAGTGGGGCGGGAAGTGCACTGTAAAGGGGAGGCTGTGTGGGGATGCTGAGCCAGCCTCTGCGGGGCCCCTAGAAGGTAAGCTCCATGTGAGCAGGGCTGCTTCTATGTTTCCTTCGCTGCTGTTCACTGTGCCTATAAGAAGAGCATAGGCTCCCAGGAATCCTATTTGGATGAATGACAAGCTAAGGAATTTGGACTCAATCCTGAAGAAAAGTTTTTAAGTAGGAAGGTGACATGATCAGGTTGTTTCAGAAAGACTAACCTGGTAGCCATTGTGGAGGATGATCTGCAATCCTGCAGGACAGGAGGCAGGTGAGCAACAGATGGGATGGGAGGAAGGAGCCCCATCAGGAGCCCGTGTGAGATGGAATCCCAGGGGTGAGGGAAGTGAGAGGAAGGGGACAAGAGCATCTCAGAGGTGACTGTCTTTGGCAGTTGGGCTGACAGAGTGCTACAGAACAGAACTTTTTGGTATTGGGTAAGGATTTCAGGCACTGGTTCTCAGGTAGCACCCACCCTCACCAGCCCACCGAAAGCATCACTGGAGCAGGGATCACTTTGAGGACCCCACAGAAGAATATAAAAGGGCAGGGGTGCTAGGAGGTCAAGTGACACTTTGCCTCTCCTTGCAACCAGCAGGGGAAAGAGGAGTGTAAGACTGAGCATGCTCTGAGGGGAACACTAGGCAGCAGGTACTGGGCTAGATGTACGAACATTCTCATCATCTTGCTGGAACTTCTTAGCTACCTGAGGTGAGTGTTAGCATTCCCATCCTACAGAAGAAGAAATACCAGATCAGAGAGCTGATTCTACTGGAGAATACACCATTAATAATTCGTGGAGCTGAGATCTGAAAACAGCAACACCAAAATCAGACCTAGGGTATGTGAGGCAACAAAAGGTGTGTTACGCGCCCCTACCTGAGTCAGGCCAGCTTCTTTTGATCATCTGTTTGTTTCTCTTCATTTCTCCCTACCATGCAGCCCATTAAAGTAGCAAATTAAAAACTGCAGCCTAATGATTATTATTACCAGCTTAACTTTAAACCAAGTTTACATTCCAGTGCTAACACTTATCAGATGTATAAATGTGAACAAGTTACTTTGCTTTTCTAAACCTGTTTCCTAATCTATAAAATGGGATTGTTGGGAGAATTAAATGAGATTATATGCTTGGCACAGAGTAGAAGCTCAATTATCAGCATTATTAATCTAAGCATATGATCATACACCTATTAGTCTGGACATCTCCAAAGTTTCTTTCAGGGGAGGGGAAGGAAGCAGGGTAGTTGAAAAAGCTACCGCCCCCCCCCCCCCACACACACACCAGTAGTTTCTAGCTTCCCTCATTCTGAATCTCACAGGAAGTACAGAACGAGAACAGTTAAGTTAGGCTACTTATACACTTGTGCTAATATGGTAGCCAGCAGCCACGTGCGGCTACTGAGCACTTCAAAGGTGGCTAGTCTGAATTGAGATGTGCTGTAAGTATAAAATATATACCAAAGTTTGAATTCTTATTTTAAAAAACAATGTAAAGTAACAAAGTTTTTTAAGTAGTTTGTTGAAATGCTAACAGTTAAGATATGCTGGGTTACAGAAATTTTTTTGAGACAGGGTCTCACTCTGTCACCCAGGCTGAAATGCAGTGACATGATCATGGTTCAAAGCAGCCTTGACCTCCTCGGCTTGAGCAATCCTCCCACCTCAGCCTCCCAAGTAGCTGGGACCACAGGCACATGCCACCTTGCCTGGCTAATTTTGTATTTTTTGTAGAGATGAGTTCTCCCTATGTTGGCCAGGCTGGTTTGCCCACCTTGGCCTCCCAATGGGATTACATGTGTAAGCCACCGTGCCCAGCCATGCATCATCTTTTAAAACTACAAGCCAGATCACAATACCTCTGTTAAAAAAAAAATCCCAAGAATTTCTCATTTCTTTCCTAGGTTCTTTGTGATCTGCCATTCTCGGGACTCAGCATGTTCCTGCTTTGCTGACCTTGCTGTTCTTCCTACACACCAAGTTTATTGTTGCTCATTTACTTTGCTGTCTCATCTGCTTGGAGCATTGCCCTCAAGATCTTTGCAGGTTTGCATCTTCTCATCCTTTAGGTCCCTGCTGAAATGCCACTTCCCTAATTACCCTGTCAGAAATACCAGCTCTTCTCACATTAAAATAGTTCTGATTCTGCTTCACTTCCCACAGCACTTAGCACAACCAGAAATGATTTATTTTTTGCTTCTGTCCCATACTTGATTATAAGTTCTGTGAGGACAGAGATGGTCTTGTCTTGTTCACTGCTGTCTCTAGCATCTAAAATAGTGCCTGGTGTATAATAAATACTCTTAATAATGAATAAATCAGTGGGCCGGGCATAGTAGCTAATCCCTGTAATCCTAGCACTTTGGGAGGCCAAGGCGGGCAGATCTCTTGAGGTCAGGAGTTCGAGACCAGCCTGGCCAACATGGTGAAACCCCCATCTCTACTAAAAATACGAAAATTAGCCGGGTATGGTGGCACGCGCCTGTAATCCCAGCTACTGAGGAGGCTGAGGCAGGAGAATCACTTGAACCCAGGAGGTAGAGGTTGCAGTGAGCTGGGATCACGGTACTGCACTCCACCCCTAGCAACAGAGTGAGACTGTCTCCAAAAAAAGAAAATGATGCTGACAGTCTCTGTGGAAGCAGAGAGGCAAGTGAGGAGATTACTGCATTGTCCAGGCTGGAGGTGTTGGTGGCTCAGACTAAGGGGGAAAAGGGTAAGGTGAAGAGAAGCACCCACATTTGGGATGCATTTTGAAGGCAGAGCTGAGACTTGCTGACTGGTAGGGGGAGAACAAGAAGAATCAAGAATGACTTAGGTCCTTGGCCACCACAACAGTGTGAGACAGGTGCTGATGGAAAGAGAGAGGACTGGTGAAGCAGCTTTTGGGGATGAACTCAAGAGTTTAGATTTGGACACATTAAATGCATAATGAGTACAAGTCAAGTGGAGGTATCAAGTAAGGCCACTAGACAAACAAGTGTGCATAAAACTTGGGGACTGGTGAGGGCTGGAGATATGTATGTGAGTCAGCAGTGCGTGGACGGTATTTAAAGCCTGGGGAACGGCTTAGACCACTTAGAGATAAATAGGAGAGGGCCACAGACTTAGCCCAGAATGCAGATGTCAGGAAGAGGATGATCAGGACACAGAAAAGGTGGTCAGTGAAGTAGAGAAAGGCAGGAGATAATATTCTAAATCAAAATGAAGAAGAAAAAAACTTTCAAGTACAGACTGGTCCACTGAATCAACTGATGCTTAAGACTACATAAACGAAATTTTTCCAGGCACACTAGTTCCTTCTTCCCGAGCTCCAGCTCCTTAAAGGAAGAAATGAACCCTATCTTCTGATGAAGGTTCTGTACCCAGGCTTTAATGCCACAGATACAGGTTCATTAAGTTGTATGACATTAAATAAGTTATTTCTCTGTACCTTGATATATACCCTCTGCATATCTATCACTAAACGCTCAAGTGAACTACTCCTACAATATCTCATATAAACATCTTATTATTCTACTTGAGGCCAGAAATTTGGGACTACCCTGGGCAACATGGTAAGTCCTCATCTCTACAAAAAATTGTTTTAAATTAGCTGGACATGTTGGTGCATGCCTGTACTCCTAGCTACTTGGGAGGCTAAGGCAGGAGGATTGCTTGAGTCCAAGGCTGCAGTGAGCTATGATGAAGCCATTGCTCTCCAACCTGAGTAACAGAGTGAGACCGTCTCAAAAAAAAAGAAACTCTATCACTTCTGTGATTTTTCTTTATAGCTCTATATTAAAATCCTTTACAACTGTCTTAATTGGCCCAAACAGGATTAAGGTTATGGTCAGACTCAAAATAAACAGGACTGTGTCTGAATCTAACCTCCACAATTTACCGTCTGTATAACCATGGGCCAGTTTCAGAATCTCTGAGATGTTCCTGCTCTGTAACATAATACTATATACCTCACAGATGGTGGGTTATGTGAAGATTAAAAAAGATAAGGGATACGCTTAGCAGAATAAAAGTTCACTAGACAGTACTTACCTATTTGTATCTGTAACACTAATATTCTCCATGTTTGTGGACTGGTAACTTGAGAAGTAAGATATAAGCTAGCTCTCCCTTCCTCCTTCCAGAGCACTAGGGTGGAGAAAGGGAGCTACAGTCAGCTGTTACTCATATCCAGTAATTTGGGAAGGGCCAAGAAGGTGGATTAGCAAAGCAAATATACATCACCAATTATTCTAGAAAATATCAGGGATGTCCTCCTCCTCGGTATTTTGTTGAGTGGATCACCACTATTAAATGCAGACACTCAAGACAGAAATTCAAGCATCATCTAAGTCTTTCCTCTCATCCCTCTGACATTTTATTAACAAGATGGCAATCTATTGTACTTTCAAAATGCTATGCTTCATCAAATCTAAGATGCTGTTATGATTCTTTTATGTAGCTCTAAGGAAAAATGCCACTTTAAACTGCGACATGCCACTGACTCTTAGAAGTGTATAGGTTTGGCCAGGCGCGGTGGCTCACGCCTATAATCCCAGCACTTTGGGAGGCCGAGGCGGGTGGATCATGAGGTCAAGGGATCGAGACCATCCTGGTCAACAAGGTGAAACCCCGTCTCTACTAAAAATACAAAAATTAGCTGGGCGTGGTGGTGCATGCCTATAGTCCCAGCTGAGGCAGGAGAATTGCTTGAACCCAGGAGGCAGAGGTTGCGGTGAGCTGAGATGGTGCCATTGCACTCCAGTCTGGGTAACAACAGCGAAACTCCATCTCAAAGAAAAAAAAAAAGGAGTGTATAGGTTTGAGAGATACTAAAATGTGAGGGGAAAGAGTACACCTTGCAATTGATGAAATTCAGGCCCTCTCATTCTACCACTGCTTAGAGTTCAGACTCCCATCATCCCTTCCCTTGATTAGGGATGAAAGCTCCCGTCTTCCCTCTACCCAACCTCTGCTGCCAAAATATTTCTAATGGCCAATATTACCAACCTACCCCAAATCTTTCCATAGTTCTTGTCCCATAGCCGCCAGTCCACATTCTCCTGTTTAACTGGCAATTCCCCAAATGTCATATCACTTCTGGCCAATGTCCCTTCCATGCTATTTTTTGTCTGGAATATTTCTTCCTCCCTCTCTTCATCTATCTCCTAGCTTTTAGACATAAGATTTTCTGGCCAGGACATATCTCACTCCACCACTCTCATGGCCAGGATTGTTTTGGTTGATATGGCTTAAATGGATGTCCCTTTCTTCATTCACAAACTCCCTCCAAAAATGAACCCTACTGTAACCCCCAAAAGACAAACTTCCTATGAAAGGGCAGTTGGAGCCTCCAGAAAGTTCTAATTGTATGGTTTTCAACACCAAACAGGCATTAGATCCTCCAAGAGTCTTCCCAAATTCTCCAAGCTCAGTAGGGAACCTCTCCCCAGAGCTCCATAGTGTCCCTGCATACCTCTGACACCCTTCTTAGAGCATCTTGTAATTATTAAACTTTGCTACTACACTGTGAGCTCCTTGGAAATAGTGATTTCTTATTCAGCTCTATTATTCCCCAGAACCTGGAACCTAGAAGGCACTTAATACTATGAAATTATCAGGTGAACAGATGGATGGGTGAATAAAAAGTGATTACTGTATATAATCATTGGGTCCTAGTTCCCCATTCTGAGGTCACCTAAATCACCTCACATTGCCACTAGCCCTTCCCAAGTATGGCAAGTGGCTTAACCAGGAAAGAGCAATGATACCCCTTGGTGGTAAATGCAGGGAGTACATCTTATTGAACAGATTCTTTTCAATCACTGCTCTCCTCTTGTGGTTAGGAAATGTCAAGGGTGAAGGAAATTTTCAAATGATCAAGCTGATGACTGTATGCAGAATGGACTGGAGAGGGGATAGAGGGGGAAGCAGGGATGCCAGCTGGGAGCTGTCTTGTCAGAGTGAGAGTCAAGTCCAGATCTGTGACTTCGACACCATCACACTTAACCACTTTATGATACTGCCTGTTTTACCTAGAATTTTCCTTTCTCCCTCCCAACTGAGCACACTGGCAGATAAGATTCTAGAATCTGTTCAGTGATTCAATGATGCCTGCCTTCTGGTATCCATGCCTTTGTATAACTCCCTCCCTTGAGAATGGCCTGGCCTAGTGACTTGCTTCCAACCAACAGAACACAGAAAAGATGATGAAATGTCACTTCTGTGATCAGACTACATAAGACTGTAACTTCCATCTGGCTAGCAGACTCTAATCCTTGTTTATTTTGCTGAAGAAAGCTGCCAAGAGGCTCATGGGGAAAGAATGTGAGGGCAACCTCTGGACAACAGTCAGCTAGCCAGCAACCCTAGAGGAACTGAAATTCTGCCAACAATATAAGTGAGCTTGGAAGCAGTCCTTCCCCAATCAGGCCTTCAGATGAGAACAGCCCTGACCAATAACTTGATTTCAGCCTTGCAGGGTTTCAGAGAAACCGTAAAGCAAGGGACCTAATGAAATGGTATCTAAACTCCTAACCTATAAGCTCTGAAATAGATGTGTGTTGCTTTAAACTATTAAGTTTATAGTAATTAATTTATCTGATAACTAATAAAGCACCTATTCAAAATATGTCCTCACCATCCAGGTCAGAACCTTCTGAAAACCTGGGAAACTTTATGTAGCCAGAATCCACTACTGTACTACAAATGTTTCTTCCCTCTGGCTCTGCAGCACCCCAGCAAGACTTCTGCAGATGAGTTCAAAGAACATTCCCATGTGAACTGAACGACAAAGTATCACATGGCTGAGCTTGTTAGATTCTAGCCCATCCTGTGCTAGGCCTTAGGTGGACCATTTACAGCTCACAAGAAATGCAGTTTATGAGGAGAGACCACAAATGCCGGGGTGGTGGTGGTGGTGGTGGTGGTGGGCGGGTGGCGGGGGGGGAACCTAGCAGATCAGCATAAGGAACATCCATCTCCAGAAAGAAACTTGGGCAACTGTCAGTTCAAGTACACAGCTCTCCCTCCTTTTACAGCATATTGCAATAGATTCTATGGCACTGAGGGAAGCACAGCCATGCTAAATAACACATAAACTTAGCTAATTCCATTGAACAGATATGAAAGAAGGTGAAGTCCTATAAGAGCCCAGTCAGAATAAGAACTACAATAATTTTGCCAAAAGCCCTTGTTAAGTTCTTGAATAATTCTGGTCAAAATGAATTTCCATCCGGTTAACTCACAATCAACAATTTGGCTGTTTTTCTTGTTTCTCACTCTATTGCCTTACTCTCTTCTACAGTATTTTTAAGTTGCCATTTAGATGGGGTTGTTCTGCTGCAGGTGGCTGAACTTGGGATCTCCTCGTCCAGAGACTACAGAGTGGATTCTATAATGATTAGTGGCAGCACCCAGTGTCTCTTCCAAGTCTAAATTTTGTGAGTTTCAAAGTTGACGCTCCCCAAACCCGGCCTTTGCTGCTGCCTCAGATTCTCCGTCACTCTAGCAAAGCAGAGAGATCAAAAGGGGCAAGACAAACCTCATCAACGGCACAGAAATCCCAGAATCACACACTCTCTGGTCCAGCCAAGCCAAGTTTTTTTTTTTTAAATCACCCTCCACTACCCAACATTCCCATTCCCAGATGAATTGGAAACTGAAGTTACACCAACTACGAGACAGCCTCAACCCCAACGTTAAATACTACCAGTTATTAACACAGAAAACAGTTCTCTTTGGAAAACGATCCACCAAACTTTTTGCGGGAAGAAGAAACTCTTCTTTCTCTAACACTTTAAGGGAAGAAGCGATGGAGAGGAAGAAGGAAAGTACATTAGCCAAAACTCTGAAAGTGACTGACGTGGGTATCTGTGGCCCAGAGAGGATCCCAAAAGACAGTGACTCTAACTCAGTGATTATTACCATCCCAATTAAAAGTCATAATGACAGCATTTACATCCACACAGGATTTCTTTCCAAGAAGTTTGTGATTCACCTACAGATGCCCTCAATTCTCAAGGCAACAAGGGGGCAACAAGGAGGTGACAGCCAGGTCCTGTGAGAGCGGTTTGTCAGAGCCCCCTCTCAATGAGTAAGTCCCTGGAAGTTGGGTTCAGTGCATGGAGGCAGGGCCACTGACTGGCTTAGCAACTTGTCCATCATGCTGATTTTAGCATCTTGCTTCTCAATGTCCTCATACGGAGTCCAGGACAAGTCATGCTGTAGCTTGTAGGCACCAAGGAAGTCATGTGGACAACTTGTCCCCCATTCCTAGAGAAGGCAAAGGAGGCAGTTCCCATCAGGGTGGGTTGTAAACAAACTAAGCTCATTTCCTAATTATGCTACATCTCTGTTTTGGCTTTTCACTTCATACTAGTCAGAACAATCTTTGGAAAGCAGTTACCGTACACATCAGATCCCTCCCTTAATAGAGAAAATGAATGAAATAATTTAAGCACAGTTATACTTTTTAAAGTCATATATGGACTCACATCATTTTCTTGGAAACCACGTCTACCAAAAATTTCTCAGAGGCTAGAGTAGATTTTTGGGCAAACTACGTATATTCTTACCTTCGGAGAAATGATGGAAAAATATTGCTGACCACTCTCCCGTTTATAGAGGTAGTAAATGTTGCCAGGTTTTTTCACTATATTACAAGCTACATGGTGCAGGCCCGCATCTCTGTGAGCATCTTCCAGTACCTATGAACCACAGAGATGTAATGAATTACGTACTGGAGATAAAAGGCACCCATATTCAGTGATCATCCCAATTAAAATCTGGAAACTTTTCAATGCTTAGGATCGTGCTCCCACATAGCAATGAATCACTACTGAGATCCACATTATTCTGAAGAAACAAAAATTAAGATTACGCTGCTAAGCTGTAAAAATGCCTTTAGAAGAATTATATTTCAAGCTAGGCAGTGATTCATGCCTGTAATCCTAGCACTTTGGGAGGCCATGGCAGGTAGATTGCTTGAGCTCAGCAGACCAGCCTGGGCAACATGGCAAAATGCTGTCTCTACTAAAAATACAAAAAATTAGCCAGGTGTGGTGGCATGTGCATGTAGTCCCAACTACCTGGGAGGCTGAGGCAGAAGGATCACATAAGTCCAGGCAGCAGAGGTTGCAGTGGGCCAAGATTGTACCACTGCACTCCAGCCTGGGTGATACAGTGATACCCTGTCTCAGGAAAAAAAAAAAAAGATATTTTAAAATGTTGAGCATTAATGACTCTGGGTAATTTTTAAGTTTCTTTCCTATTTTCTGTGCTAAGTACATTTCTTTTATAAATGAAAACATAGTCCCCTGTTAAAATGCTTTACCTCATGAAACCTTCTCCTGATAAAAACAAAACATGAATTGGCCGGGTGCGGTGGCTCAAGCCTGTAATCCCAGCACTTTGGGAGACTGAGGTGGGTGGATCACGAGGTTAAGAGATCGAGATGATCCTGGTCAACATGGTGAAACCCCATCTCTACTCAAAATACAAAAAATTAGCTGGGCATGGTGGCACACGCCTGTAATCCCAGCTACTCAGGAGGCTGAGGCAGGAGAATTGCCTGAACCCAGGAGGCGGAGGTTGCGGTGAGCCGAGATCACGCCATTGCACTCCAGCCTGGGTAACAAGAGTGAAACTCCGTCTCAAAAATAACAAAAAACAACAAACAAACAAACAAAAAAGTGGGAGGCCAAGGTGGGCAGATCACCTGAGGTCAGGAATTCAAGACCAGCTTGGCCAACATGGCAAAACCCCATCTCTACTAAAAATACAGAAGTTAGCTCGCTGTGGTGGCAGGCACCTATAATCCCAGCTACTTGGGAGGCTAAGGCAGGAGAACTGCTTGAATCCAGGAGGTGAAGGTTGCAGTGAGCTCAGACCGCACCACTGCACTCCAGCCTGGACACAAGAGTGAAACTCTGTCTCAAAAACAACCAAACAAACAAAAACTTATACTTAACCTCTTAAGCTTATTCCTTCTATTTTACCCAACACCACTACATTTCTAGAAGGTACTAAAGACATAGAAAGTCACAATGATTATAAACAAGTTCAGCCGATCCTGAGAATTGAATAAAGAAAAGGAAAGCCTGTCTAAAAGTCATTCCTTACCTTCCTGGCTTGTTCTTGCAAATGCTGGATTTGCTCAGCTATGACTGTCAGCTTGTTGGTGGCATTTGCTCGGATGAAGTCATCAGCCTACAGGTGAGAGAAAACCAAACTGTGGGTTGAAAGAGGATAAGACTTCAATGATGTTCTTATCTGGATCCCAGTGTGGAGAGTTATGTTAATATTTTGCTTCTGTCTAACAAATTTTTCCCATTCTCTCCACTGTCCCATAGCCTCCCACTCATCCCAATGCCCCATTCAAATAACTCTGTTATGAGAAAGCCACCCTGATATGACTCCATAATACAGAGTGAAGTGCTCTCTTCTCTTTCCCATAGCTTTCCACCCTTTTACTATTAACTGCAGTTACACTGAATTTCTTTCTCTCTCTCTCTCGCTCTGGCTCTCAGTCTGTCTCTTGCTCGCTTGCTCACTACCAAATATATTCAATATACCCTCTCCTCCATCCAATCCATTTTTCCTCCTGCTCTTTACCTAATTAACACCAAACATTTCTCAGGTCTCCATTTTCTCCTGTTTAAACATTTGTGAAATCAAGGATGGGTTTTACAACAATAATTAAAAGACACTTCTGATCTGGCCCTTATCATCTGCTAATGTAGAACACTAGATACACATAGAAAGCATTTGGGTTTTTCTGTGTGACTCCCCCACACTCACATAAATGAGAAAAGTATGTGTTAATCTGACCATTTTCTCAGTTAAATTATTGACATCACAACTACTCAAAGTTTAACTTATACATGCATTTCTAATTATTACTTCAAATATATTTTAAAAGACTGCACTATGGTATGGACCTGAAACAGTTATAATGTACACAGAAAACTGCCTGTCATGTGCCATGAAGTGCAAGTGAAGGCAATGGAAATTTTTTTTCTTTGAGATGGAGTTTTTGCTTTTGTTGTCCAGGCTGGAGTGCAATGGCACAATCTTGGCTCACTGCAATCTCCACCTCCTGGGTTCAAGCAATAATTCTCTAACCTCAGCCTCCCTGGTAGCTGGGATTACAGGTACCTGCCACCATGCCCTGCTAATTTTTGTATTTTTAGTAGAGACAGGTTTTCACCATGTTGTCCAGGTTGGTCTCAAACTCCTGACCTCACGTGATCTGCCCACGATGGCATCCCCAAGTGCTGGGATTACAGATGTGAGGAACTGTGCCCAGCCAGGAAATTTCTTAAAATAGATCATATTCTCAAAGCTAGAAGAGACTAATGTGACCAATTCATGTACTGGGAAGGATTACCACTCAAGCAATAGAAATCTGTCAAAAACTTCCAGCTTACTTTTAAGAAAAGCTGATTAACTTCCAGTAGTACACAATTAAGGTAAATAAATTAGGAGATTGAACTAGAACTTGAACTAAGAAACATTAAAGAGAATTTACTGGTTAGTTGAAAAGTCTTCAGGCAAAATTCAGGTATAAGTTAGTATTATGAGTGAACAGAACCATACAAGTAAACTGAGTCATTTATCTTTCCACAAATGTATTTTAGGCAACTACTGTATGTCAAGACACCACACTAGGCAGTGGGTATACTCGCAAACAGGAAAGAAAACACCCTGCCTTGTCAAGTTGACAAGTCAAATCTAATACAGTTTAACAGAAATATGAGGCAAGTCACATATAAAATTTTAAATTTTCTAGTAGCCACATTAATAGTAAATTAATTCTTTTTTTTTTTTTTAAGATGGGGTTTCACCATGTTGGTCAGGCTAGTCTTGAACTCCTGACCTCAGGTGATCTGCCCGCCTTGGCCTCCAAAGTGCCTGGATTACAGGCGTGAGCCACCACGTCCAGCCCAATAGTAAATTAATTCTAACATTATATATCTATATATATTTTTTGAGACAGAGTCTCACTCTGTCACCCATGCTGGAGTGCAGTAGCACGATCTCTGCTCAGTGCAACCTCTGCCTCCAGGGTTCAAGTGATTCTCGTCCGTAAGCCTCCTGAGTAGCTGGGACCACAGGCATGCACCACCATGCCTGGCTAATTTTTGTGTTTTTAGTAGAGATAGGGTTTTGCCATGTTTGTCAGGCTGGTCTCGAACTCCTGGCCTCAAGAGATAGGCCTGCCTCAGCCTCTCAAAGTGCTGCGATTACAGGCATAAGCCACTGTGCCCAGCTAATACATTTTACTTAACCCACTATGTCAAAAACATTTTTATTTTAACATGTAATCACTATTTTTAAGTTGTTAATGAAATATTTTGCATTTTTTTCATTTTTCTTTTGGTCCTTCTCAGTCTAATCTGTATTTTGCATTTGGTATTAAGCCTTCAAAATACAGTGTTTATTTTGTACTCACAGCACATCTCAATTTGGATGCTAAAATTTCATCAGAAATACTTGATCTGTATTTAGACTTAATAAACTTTATAAGTGAAAAAGCTGACTCGCATATTCAAATTGTTCCAATATACTTGAGTTCCAATAATTGAAGTAATTATTAGGTTTTTAAATTCAAATTAATTAAAATCAAATAAAATGTAAAATTTCTTCCTCAGCCACACTAACAACATAACACAAGTGCTTAACAGACATAATGTTGCTAGTGGCTGCCATATTTTAAAGCACAGCTCTAGTGAGTAATACAGATACCAAAAAGTAAAGGTAACTAAAGCTAGGATTATATGTACTCATAATAACAGTGCACTGTTATGAAGGAAATAATCACAATTATGTAGTAGAAGCAGGTTAAAGATAACAAATGAGTGAAGTAGAAAAGCTACTTCATTTTTGTAAGTTTAATAACAGGGAGTGGTGGGGAACTGGAAAGTATATGTAGCCTAGAGGTATTTGAATTCAATTTAATAATACTTGCCATTTGGATGGGGTGGGGTATGGCTTCTTCAGACAAGAAGGCCTCACTAAGGATAATAACATTTGGCTTGGGTCTAAACGAAAGGAGAGGACAGGCCATGTGAAAAGCAATTAGTGATGGGCAATGTGCAGAATCGGGTTAAAAAGAGAGCAGAGACCAGATCATGCAGAGTCTTGTAGCCCACAGTAAAAGAATTTGCATTTTGTTCCAAGAATGAAAGGAGCCATATATGGCCAAGGAGAGAGTAGGTATTTCTAGAGTTAAGGTAGTTCCAGGTTAGGGGTGGCTTTATAATAACCCTCCCCTTTCTTCTTTTTTTTTTTGCTACCATTTGCCAACTCACTGAGCAAAACTCTCCCCTTTCTTAAGGTGCTGGCAGTAAATCTTGCAAACAAAATTTGAATTTATATTTTGAAGACTTAATATAAAATGCAAAATATGGATTAGACTGAGATGGACCACAAAAAAGAAACAAAAAATACAAAATATTTCATTAACGCTGAGGAGGAGGGTGAGAGGAAAAAAGAAAGAGGAAAAAAAATACTTCATTAACAACTTAAAAACAAAAGAGCCTCATAAAAAAGAAAGGAAGGGGCCTGGCACAGTGGCTCATACCAGTAATCCCAGCACTTTGGGAGGCCGAGGCAGGCAGATCACCTGAGGTCAGGAGTTCGAGACCAGCCTGACTAATATGGAAAAACCCTGTCTCTACTAAAAATATAAAATTAGACGGGCATGGTGGCGCGTGCCTGTAATCCCAGCTACTCAGGAGGCTGAGGCAGAAGAATGACTTGAACCCAGGAGGTGGAGGTTGTGGTGAGCAGAGATTACACCATTGCACTCCAGCCTGGGCAACAAGAGCAAAACTCTGTCTCAAAAAGAAAAAGAAAAAAGGAAAGGGAAGAGTACCTACGACTACGAAGCACTAACCCTGGCCTCAACCACTCTGAAGCCCTTTACATTCATCTCATTTACTTCTCATACCTTTATGAAGTTGGAGATAATAACCTCACTTTCTCATTTTAGGAATTAAGACTCATAGACATGAGGCAATCTATCCAAGGTTTCACAGATAATAAACAGCAGTTAAAGGATCTGAACACAGATCAGTCTGATTCCAAAATTCATGTCCTAATACCAGGCCTCCTGAGCTTTCTGAATACACACCAATACCTGGGTCAGTCCTGCTAAAAAGTACTTCTTTTTTTTTTTTTTGGAGATGGAGTCTCATTCTGTCGGCCAGGCTGGAGTGCAATAAGCATGATGCTGGTTCACTGAAGCCTCCACCTTCCAGGTTCAAGCAATTCTCCTGCCTCAGACTCCCAAGTAGCTGGGACTACAAGCATATATAAGCACACACTGCCATGCCCAGCTAATTTTTTGTATTTTAGTAGAGACAGGGTTTTATTATGTTGCCCAGGCTGGATTCAAATTCCTGAGCTCAGGCAATCCATCGGCCTCGGCCTCCCAAAGTGCTAGGATTACAGGGGTGAGCCACAGAACCTGGCCTCATTTTTAAGAGTCTTACTCTCTCACCCATGCTGGAATGCAGTGGCACAATCTTGGCTCACTGCAACCTCTGTCTTCTGGACTAAAGCAATTCTCATGCTCCAGCCTCCCAAGTAGCTGGGACTACAGGCGTGAGCCACCACATCCAGCTAATTTTTGTATTTTTAGTAGAGACAGGGTTTCACCATGTTAGCCACGCTGATCTCGAACTCCTGACTTCAAATGATCCACCTGCCTTGGCCTCCCATAGTGCTGGGATTACAGGTGTGAGTCATGGCGCCCAGCCAAAAATTACATTTTAGATAGTAAATGTTTGATTGAATTTGTCTGTCTCTAAAGTTTTTTCTTCAGCTTCTCAAAGATGGACTGTATTGGGGAAACAGAGGCAGCACAATAATGCATCCTCTGTATTTCACTAGATTATAGGATAAAAGACAAAAACTGTGTTCTTTCTTCCATCTGTTCAGGCCATTGTAATAAACATGACAGTCATTCAATAGCACATGAGTATGTTGTATGCACAAGATTCTGTCCCTAGCAGCCTCCCTCTCAATAACAGCAATCTGATTGACTAGACACATATTCTCTTAACCCATAAAAGTTGCACTTTGCTCCTCAGCTCTCCAAAAAGAAGAAAGCACAAGTTTTGAATTAATGGAGACTTCCTAAGTATCTGAATGTTTCTTATTTAAAAAAAACAATTGGAAGGATTTCTAGGATCATTTTAAAAAAGAGAGATGTGAGGGAATTTGAGCACATTAAATAACTCTGAGCAAAGCAAAGATCTTTGAACATTAATCAAGGCCAAATCTGATAGTGTATACAGGGATAAGGGGCCATCATAATCTTTAAAGCAGCAGGACCCTCCATTTGTGCACACTGAAGAGGGTGTACAACTGGAAGTCTTGAGAAGAGATAAGAAGGAATCTGGTTTTTCACTGAATAATGACAAAGCTTTAGATCTTGGAGCTCTCCTACTTCAAACCTTTCACTTCACAAATAAAGTAGTTGAAATCCAGATAGAAGTAATCTGCCTCAAGTCGCACTGCAAGTTAGTATCAAAAGTGGGATTAATACTCATGTGTCCAAACTTCCAGTGTTTTTTCCATTATTTTACATTTCCTCATTTTACTTATTTTGGCAATCCATATAGTAAGCACTGGGCTTGCTAATACTGTGTTTGATGAGGACTAAACTTGAGTCCTCGCCCTGCCAGAAGATGTTTAAACTCTCAGGTAACAAAGACCTTATAGGAAGCAGCTTAAATAAGCTCCTGGGGAACTTTTCTTTATGTGTCAAATGGGAAGAATGACTTCCGTACTGCCTACCTCACAAGGCTGTCCGAAAGTGCAAATTAAATAATGAACACTAAAGTGTTTGTGTAAACCTTCCCACGAAGGGAGATTATAGGCACTCAAGTTGCAGTTAGAGGAGTCTTTGATCCCAGAAGGTCATTCGAGTCAGGCCACGTACTCGCAATGACAGTCGGCTTTACTCGTCTGTAAAATGGAGACAAGAACAAATGCCACCCCCACCTAGGTGGTACTGAGGTCTGATCTGAAAGACGCAGAGCACAACGTGAACGAAGACGGTTATTCGCTGTCCCGGCCGCGCCTCCTCACCTTCTGCACCTGCTCTGCGAGCGCCACGAGGTCTAAGGGGTTCCCGGCCCGGTGGGTGTGGTAGGGGCTCACCAGGGCCAGGCCGCCGGGGGTCGGGGTGAGCTCCACCAGGGCTCCTGCGACACACACCCAGGAACACAGGCCGTGAGCTCCCGCCCTCGGCCTCCCGCGGAGCCCCGAGACAGGTTGCCTCGCGAGGGCTGACTTCCCCCTGCTGACTCCCGACCCGCATACCTCCCTGACCTGCAGCTGGCTGCGCTTCTTGCCTTTCAAGGACCCCCTCGGTCAGCCCCGGCGCTGCTGCCTCCTCCATAACAGCGCCTTATCCTCCCACTCCCTCGCGGTGCGAGTTGGGAGAGCCTGCGCAGAAAGGCACATGGGCGGAGCTTCCGTCTTCCTTGTCCATTGGGCGTTAGAGCGACTTAGCTTGGCCTGAGCTCGGAGGCAGGGCTCCAGCTGACGCGCAGGGTTCCGCTAACGGGCGGTGGAGGGAGGGTTCAGGTTGACCGAAAGGAAAAGAGGCGGTGCAAGCGTCGTGGGCATGCGCCGCCCGGCTTGGGAGGTGGGGCTTCGCCCGGAGGCGGGCCTTCGCCGGGGGTGGGACTCCGGCCTTCGTGGCGGGCGGTTAGCGGTCCTGTTAAGTCTGAGGAAGCGATGGCGGCATGCGCGTTAAGGCTGCTGACCACACTGCTGGCTTTCGTGGCCGCTGCCTCCCAGGCCGAGGTCGAGTCCGAGGCGGGATGGGGCATGGTGACGCCTGATCTGCTCTTCGCCGAGGGGACTGCGGCCTACGCTCGCGGGGACTGGCCCGGGGTGGTTCTGAGCATGGAGCGGGCGCTGCGCTCCCGGGCCGCCCTCCGCGCCCTCCGCCTGCGCTGCCGCACCCAGTGTGCCGCGGACTTCCCGTGGGAGCTGGACCCCGACTCGCCCCCCGGCCTGACCCAGGCCTCGGGCGCCGCCGCCCTGCGCGACCTGAGCTTCTTCGGGGGCCTCCTGCGCCGCGCCGCCTGCCTGCGCCGCTGCCTCGGGCCCCCGGCCGCCCACTCGCTCAGCGAAGAGATGGAGCTGGAGTTCCGCAAGCGGAGCCCCTACAACTACCTGCAGGTCGCCTACTTCAAGGTGCAGACCTGGCCGGAGCCGGGCGGCCGGGGTCCTTCTGGGGAGAGGAGTGTTGCAGGGTACTTGGGGAGCTTGGAGAGCCGGGGAAGTGTCCGCAGGGAGGGGAAAGTGGCCTCCTAGCTGGGGAGATTTCCTGGAAACCCGGGAGAGCAGGGCCCTAGCAGAATACCTGCCTCGACCAGTTCGCCTGGGCAGATGCTAACCCCAAAGGTCCAGACTGGGGTTAGGGCACAGGCCAAGCAAAACCCATGGCCATTTGGTTCCCCTGGAAATCTCCTGGAAGGAATTAAAGCAGCAGTTTGGGTCTCCCATCCTGATGTCATTGTAAGTTTCCTAGTTAGAAGCTAGTAGTGGTCTACAATATCTTCCTTCCGGTTGGTTTTCCAGTGGTGCTTTTTCTCCTGCTTGATGCAGCAGCTCTCTTTCAGGATGTGAGGTTGCCACGTCGCCAGCAGGGGCTGCCTGATCCTGCCTGTGGGGGGACCCTCTGGCTAGCCTGTCAGGTTTACAAAGACAACTAGTGTTTTTAGGACTGCCAGAGTGCTAAGCGTCCAAGTGTACACATGGGCTTGGAGCGTTCCAGGCATGTTTGGTGGTGGTGATGGTGGTGATGATGATGATGATGATGATCCAGGCACTGTTTCAAGCAGTTTGCATTTATTTACGCATTTGCCCTAATCTTCACAACATCCTGTCATGTAGAAGCTGTTATTGGTCCCACTTTATTGGGCGTCTGGGGAGAAAGAGCAGTGTGCTTTTTATCTGTTATATCTGCACTTTAAAAGACCTTCAATTCAACCTAAAGAGAGTTTTAGAGACTCTTGGGGACCTCAGATTTCTACCCCTCCACAGCATTCTACCCATAGTTCCCCTCATTTTCCTAGTTACTCGGAAGACTTGGACTTGAAATCAAAATAATTTGGTTGTGTTGCTTCATCATAGCACTATGTAAAATTATTTGACAAACATGTATTGCATATCTACTGCATTCCAGTTCCTGTACAAGTAATTAAATGCTCAACCAATGTGTTTGCTTTGTCTTGCTTTGCTGTTAAGAGGCTGTAGTAAGGGCTACTGCAAGGGCATAATCTTAGGGCTGTGGGATCACAAAGGAGGGAGACTCTAGCTTTGTCTCAAAGAAATTAGAGAGACTTCAAAGAAAAAGTAGTATTAAAGCCTGTCCTAAGTATTGCCAGGGGGAGAGGAAGGAAGGCTCGTCCAGACAGAGGGGGAAAAAATCAATTGTGATTGCAATGTCGAGATGTATGTGGGGAGTAGTAGGAGAGGAAGCTAGAAAGGTCAGTGAGGCCAAATTTGGAAGAGAATTCTGCAGGCTTCAGGGAGCCATCCTCGGATTTCAGTTTTAAAACACTAATTCTGGAAGAAGCCATGGTGAATAAACCTTGGAAGAAGGAGAAAGTGGTGGCAGGGTACATGATTAGTGGATGGGCATTTGTCCACAAGAGAGGGGTGGGCACAGTTGGCTCACGCCTGTAATCCCAGCTCTTTAGGAGGCCGAGGCCAAGGCGGGCGGCTCACCCGAGGTCAGGAGTTCAAGACCAGCCTGACCAACATGGAGAAATCCTGTCTCTACTAAAAATACAAAATTAGCCAGGCATGGTGGTGCATACCTGTAATCCCAGCTACTCAGGAAGCTGAAGCAGGAGAATCACTTGAACCCAGGAGGTGGAGGTGGCAGTGAGCCGAGACCGCCATTGCACTCCAGCCTGGGCAACAAGAGCTGAACTCCATCTCCAAAAAAAAAAGAAAAGGAAGTTAAGTGCCTCCGTGCTTAGGAAGTAAAGAAGGCTGGGGGTGGAGAGAGGAGTGAGGACATGGGGTGAACAGAGAAAGGCAGGAGCAGAGTTGAAAGATATAAGCGATAGAGTAATTCCATAAAAGGGACAGACCTGAGAAAATTTCTAATTTTACAGTTAAAGAAACTGAGGTACAGAGATGGGGAGTTATTTACCTTGTGTCACCTAGCCAGGGCTGATTCTTGTAGTGTGCCTTTACTAGTACCCATGATAAGAAAATAAGTTCTCTTAGCAAATTAGTCATACCACTTAAAATTCAAGCACTTAATCTGTGCCCCACACCATGTATTACAGGCTGCATATATATTATTTCATTGAACTCTCAACAATGCTAGAAGATAGCTAGAGAATGCTATCTCCAGATGATAGATTAGGGAAACTGAGTTTAGAAAGTAAACTTTAAGTAACTTGTCTACTGCCTAGCCATTAAGCCCAGACTTGCTGCCAGCTGGTCTATCTGATACCGGTGTCCAAGTAGTTCATTACTAGATTATCAGTGATTTATTTGGTCGGATTCTATGTATGAACCTGTGTTACTTTGATATGCTGGAGTCCATTGCTGTGGGAATTGTTGTGGTCTGTAGCCTATTTTTTCTCCCCCTTAGATTTATTTTTCTTTTCTTTTTTTTTGGAGACAGAGTCTCACTCTGTTGCCCAGGCTGGAGTACAGTAGCGTGATATTGGTTCACTGCAACTCCTGCCTCCCGGTTCAAGCCATTCTCCTACCTCAGCCTCCTGAGTAGTTGGGATTACAGGCATGTGCCACCATGCCTGGCTAATTTTTATATTTTTAATAGAGACAGGTTTTCACCATGTTGGCCAGGCTGGTCTCAAACCCCTGACCTCAAGTGATCCACCCACCTCAGCCTCACAAAGTACTAGGATTAGAGGCTCAAGCCACTGCCCCCGGTCATCCTCTCAGATTTCTAAGAGCTATTTATTTGAACCTCATGAGCCCTGAGCTTTGCATCAGAAAATACTATATCTGGACTTAGTAAGTATCTTAGGATTTTTAGCTACCCACCTTTTCCCTGAATGTCAGGGTCTTGCTCTGTCACCTAAGCTGGAGTGCTGTGGCATCATCTTGGCTCACTGCAACCTCTGCCTCCCAGGCTCAAGCAATCCTCCCACTTCAGCTTGAGGTGTAGCTGGGACTACAGGTACACAGCATCATGTAATTTTTATATGTTTTGTACAGACAAGGTTTTGCCATGTTGCCCAGGATGGTCTTGAACTCCTGAGCTCAAGTGAGCCACCTGCCTCGGCCTCTCAAAATGCTGGGATTACAGACATGAGCCACTGCACCCAGCATGAAAACATATTACATGGGCAGTCAGTCTTTCACAGCACTCCCCCTGCAATATGACCTTTGTTTTAAAACATAACATTCCTACTTCCTATAATATGAAGCACCCCTAAACCTGACTTGGGAAAGAGCTACAAATCTGCACAGGGCACTGCACTCCTAATCTCTGGTGGGTAGTTCCTGCAATAGGTGTGTTTCCTGGGGCTGGCAGCAGCTGGGCATGCTGAGTGAAGGGCTCAGGGAAGCAGGGATTTACGGTTTATGTGGACTGTTCATGTGGACACAACTGCAGAGTTTAGATGTGAGTGTTACCATCTCATGCTTCATTCTTAGATCAACAAGTTGGAGAAAGCTGTCTCCGCAGCACACACCTTCTTTGTGGGCAATCCTGAGCACATGGAGATGCGCCAGAACCTAGACTATTACCAAACCATGTCTGGAGTGAAGGAGGACGACTTCAAGGATCTTGAGGCTCAACCCCATATGGTGAAAAACACTTTATCCCCTTCTTTCTCTCTTTCTTTTTAAATTCATTTTAGAGACAGAGTCTTGATCTGTCACCCAGGCTGGAGTGCAGTGGCATGATCATAGCTCACTGTAACCTCAAATTCCTGGACTCAAGAGACCCTCCAGTCTCAGCCTCCTAAGTAGCTGGGACTACAGGCATGCGTTCTTTCTTTTTTAAAAAAAAATGACATTACTAGGGTTGTCTTCTAATTACGTTATAGAAGTAATAAATGTTCATTGTATAACATTGTAGAAATGTAGATAAGTATTAAAAAAAAAGTAATCATTCGTAGCACTGCCACCTTAAGAAAACCAGTTTATATTTTGCCCTACTTTTTAAGTCTTCTGTATATAATTTTTTCATCTAATTTAGTGTCATGCTGTGTACGCATTTTTCATCATCTCTTTTTATTTTTTTGAGGCAGGGTCTCACTTTATTGCCCAGGCTAGAGTGCAGTGGTGTGATCATGGCTCACTGCAGCCTTGACCTCCTGGGCTCAAGTGATCCTCCCATCTAAGCCTCCCAAATAGCTGGGACCACAGGCATGCACCACCACACTCAGCTCTTGTTTTTATTTTTTGTAGAGACAGGGTATCACTGTGTTGCCCAAACTCCTGGTCCCGAGTGATCCTACCACCTTGCCTCCCAAAGTGCTGGGATTACAGGTGTGAGCCATCATCCCTAGCCCTGTCATCATTTTTTAGCTAACATC